ATCTGACAGATACTTAAGAGCGTAAAGGTGATCCAATAATTAGGTTCTTATGTATCACATACCTTCGAAGAGTGTTGATTTGACTTTTACCTAAATCATCAGCATCTGACAGATACTTAAGAGCGTAAAGGTGATCCAATAATTACGTTCTTATGTATCACATACCTTCGAAGAACGTTGATTTGACTTTTACCTAAATCATCAGCATCTGACAGATACTTAAGAGCGTAAAGGTGATCCAATAATTACATTCTTATGTATCACATACCTTCGAAGAACGTTGATTTGACTTTTACCTAAATCATCAGCATCTGACAGATACTTAAGAGCGTAAAGGTGATCCAATAATTACGTTCTTATGTATCATATACCTTCGAAGAGCGTTAATTTGACTTTTACCTAAATCATCAGCATCTGACATCGTAACCAATTTTAAGAAAAACAATTATTATACTTTATTAGTACGTGTAAGCTATGCAAAGAAAACTGAAGGCCAGATGAGAATTATTTTTTGCAAATTTATGATATTTTTGCCACGAATGCCTACTGCTGTCTGTTTCTTAAAAATACCTTTTAATTTCAGCCTAAACTTTCAATTCCTCTTCTATCTACCCCCTGAACAATTGGACAATTGTTTTAATCTTCCAAATTTCTCTTAATTTGTCCATTGCGACTCAAAATATGAGGTGTGTAAAAATTGCATTTAAGATATTTATTTTACAAGTAGCTGCCCAAGAAACTTTACATTCAACACCAGGACTCGTTGGTTGGGCTGGACAATGAGACACGACTAAAACACTACCACGATATTGCAGTATACTGTGTATAGTACTTTTAAGACTTTTCTTCTGTAAAAATGATTCGTCAGAATTTGTTGTTAAACAATATTATACAAAAACTTCATCCTATCATTAAACTATACTCCAAATCAGATCTTATCAGGCCTACTAAATAAATCCTGCCATGAACCACAACTAAAACAAACAAAGAATGTCAAGCAGCTGTATTTTGTAAATGAATGAAGTCAATAAATATGTTATTGGAATGAGGTTTTTTGTTGTAAATGAATTTGAAATACATCTGAAGGCAACTGAAAGCCACATTATGGACCAAGATATGTTACTATCAAGAAAAATAAAACCTGAACTAAACTTAACCATCAAGAAGCTGTAATTCTTGCTGCATAAACATTATGGAGAAATTAAATACGAGGTCTTAGTTGCAAACTTTCTATAACACAATTACTTACATATTAACCCAGATCATTAAGGTTGATATTAATTCACATATGGCATCAGGACCCATGTGTGTGGGTCTTCCTGGCTTTGGTGTGATTCATAGGAAACATATTTTTTTTTTTATTTATGGTTCTATTTAGTAGGACCTGATATAAGCTAACACTTTAAAGGATAGTAAGAATGGCTATTATTCAAACAAATATTCTCTAAACTGACCACAATCTTGAGAGAGGACTCCACTGCATCTTGTGTTCTTTTATCACTACTTCCTGGATAACTCCCGTCACACCTGGGACATTCTGACTTCTGAGTGGAACTGAATCCGAACCTTGTACTACACCCTGTACCACGGCATATGCAATCTTGGAATCTTTGTGTTCCCTTACAAGACCTTTCAGGTTGCTGGTCAAGTCTAAGCATGGTGCAGTCTGGAAGAATTATTACCACAAAATGAGTTACATGTCTGTGGTAAATACTTATCAAAATATATATAACAAAATTTGGTACAACCAGTTCATTTCCATGTATTTATTTTAGTGAACTGATATCTAGAATGCTTCCGATAAAAAAAATTTGAGATCGTTATAAAGTATTTTACATTTCATAGCTAATATTCTAGAACCACATTTCGTATATTATATAGTCTTTCTTGTATGTACTAACCCTGATGAAGCCACAAAGGTGAAACGTTGGTTAAAATAAAAAGTAATTTTATAATTACCTGGAATATAAAGGTAGTTTTTTTTCTCTCTAACCCTTTTATGAAATAGTTATTATATATAGTTACAAGCAACAATGGGACCAAATTGTATTATAATTCCAGGAATGTTTTTCTTATTAAGGCTCTGTATTAGAAATTCACAAGTTTTGGCATCTAATTAAGATAAAATAGGAAGTTTACAGAAAACCACTTCAATCATCATGTGCACCACTGTTTGAGAAAACAACAAATAAATATTTTGTTTTAATACAGGTACGACATTCCGATCAGTGGTGTGCTTATTCTCAAGTACACTAATACTTATAATCAGTAAGTGAACTAAAAAAAAAAAAACTACAAACAGTGGTGAGGACCTGGATAAACTAAATGCAAAAGAAAAGTAAGATACAGAGAAAACTGTCACGTAGGAACAAAATACAGAAGTAGTTGTAAGGTTAGGCTTAATTGTTACTATCGTAATGTTAGAAATATAGGAAATGAGCATAGAAGTAGTTATAAGGTTAGGCTTAATTGTTACTATTGTAATGATAGAAGTAAAAGAAACAAAACATTTGATTTTAAAGCACTAGTCTGAATGGACGATTTTGATATAATGGGATTATCTGAAATTTGATTAAATGTAGAGAATTTTGATGACGGGTATTTCTTTGAAATACAGTTATGGGTCATCTAATAAAAATAGTGTTTTGAAAAGAAGGGAAGGAGTTGCTTGATAGTGAGGTGATGGAATATATCTGGGTTTCTATTAGTAGATATAGGGGGAGAAGGCTTTTAGTTGGAATTCGCTACAGACCACCATATATATATAGCAATATTATCATGAAAACTTTTCAACGAAACATCTTTTACTAAGAATTCTAATGATGAATATGATATTTATACTATTTACAATAATATTAATACACTGAATGCCGTAACTAACTAAACTGAATTTCTTTCTTGAATATTGTAAAAATTGTCAACACCATTAAATAATTGAGCAAGCCACCCAGCTCACTGTTCATCTTACCATGAAAATTACCTCAAACTGCCTTTAATTGCATACAAAACCATAATTATTATAGTCAGGAAAGCAAAAATGGAACAAAAGGGCATGGGGCAAAGATATTTAAAAAGCACAGTACTTCAACTTTTGTTGGGTCTATTTTTTGCAATGGGCCTGGTGGTGTAACTCCACCAGTCTCCATCTTAATATGGTAGTGCTTGTTATCAATGAACTTTATAATCTCTCAGAATATTCTCTTCTTGCTTACAAATTCAGTTCCTTTATATAAAACCATATACTTGCTCTTTTCCCCACAGATAGGGGTAAGAAAAAAAATATTATTAGTTATACTTCTTTTTTTTTTTTTACCTAACTTATGATCAGAGCAAGCCACTTACTGTTAAAGCAAAGCTTAAAAAAAAGCAATCTGTTGAGTTTAGTGTCAAATTTATTATTAAATGCTTTGCTTAAAAATAATACTCAAAAACTTACTGTAAGATTTCTTGAAATTTGCAGATTTCAAACCTTTGTGATATATAATGGACTTCAAAGTTTGAAATCTGCAAATTTTAACTTAAGAAATCTTACACTTACAGCAAGTTTTTAGTAGGATTTTTAAGCAAAGGATTTAATAAGTTTAACACTAAACTCAAGAGATTTTTGAGTTTTGAATAATTATGAATGAAATTTTAATACCTTTTTCAACTAAAGTACAAATCGTAAAGCTTTAAATTTTAAAATACACAGATGCTTTGAAGTTAGTCTAAGCACAACATTACCTTAAGTGCTTCTGTATTCTTTACTGCACCACGATAAAATTTATAGAATGTTCCAAACAGAACCAAATCAATTCCAAAACATATCAGCTCACCCATAAACATTTTTAAATTTGAAAAGTTTCGAATACGATGAAAGCCGCTACACAATATCTAAAATTGTCTGCTGACTATTTTAAATTTACTTCAATACTAATACTATGGTTACTAGTAAATCTACCTCTAGCGTAACAGGCCTAGCAAGTTACATAGACTGTATTTCCATTTCAACTTAGTTCAGCGTTCCAAATATCACTCACTTAAGTTTACAACCTTTTTTTCTTAAACGGGCAAGTTAAAAATAAAATTCCAGCTTATGCTTTAGAAGGAGACAAGTTTAAAAAATAATAACTTTAAAAACCCGGAAATCCCGAACGTATAACATTTAAAAATCAAACAAACAAAATGAAATTCAAATATCCAGCTCAATCCGATACCAATGAAGTATTACATCAGCCTCTTCTAATCGCAAACTCAAAATTAATATTGTACTACTATACAAAAGCGTAACTATAAAGTGCAAAGTTTAACATGGAATCAGATTTCCCTTTATTTTAAACATAAAAGAAACGTTATTAAAATTTATTTGAGTTTCTTTTAATTCCAAACTCTTAAATATTGTGAGATTCATTTACCATTATGTATGGATATTGTAACAATAAAACTAGAAAAAATTGTTTCAACAGCGAGCATTGAAAAAAATGCGTGACACAAATATTTGTGACATAATTAACCCTAGAATGCAGTTCTAGGTTCAAAAACCTGCAGGATTTTTGTTTTGCAATAATTCTATTATAAATGCACATGCTGCTATGACCCTCCTTCTGTTCTTCTACAATTTGGTGACAAATATTTCTGTAGGAGTCATCTTTTTTTTTTTTTTTTTTTGAGCAAATATACAATATTACTTGTACGTATTTGACCACTGGAACAGTGTAAAGTATTTCAGAACTGCACCATTAGGTTAAAATTTGGTAACTGGTTTTTCAATCTGAACAGCAGCTTATGGCCCTATATGACACATGGTCGAAACAGCCAATTCAAAGACCTCCAAGGTTAATCTGTAGCCATCCCTAATTTAGATTGTCTGATAAGAGGGAGGCCAATAACTCAGCTTTCTATGCCGCCTACTCTTAATATTGTTCACTATCTGCTCGTTTGTTAATTTCAAGTTCTTTCTTAATTAAAACTAGTTTATTCTTTCTTGATACAACTTCTT